GGGAGCAGCAATGGAAGTTGGCATGGGGTGCTGGAGCCTGAGAGGGGTGAGGAAAGCACGAAGGAGGCGGAGGCAGAGGCAGCACGGTGCAAGATGTCAGAGCTCAAGCAAGGTGAGAAGGGCATCTGCATGGAGAGGTTTCAACAGGGGCGTCTTTGTGTGACGTGAAAGAAAACATCTGTGTGGGCGTGGGCGTGGGCTTGGCCATGGCCCGGAGCACGAAGACAGAGCCCAGGTGAGGCGAGGAAGGCATCCTGAGAGAAGCAGCAGCTCTCATGGAAGATTGGTCACGAACAGACGGCTTTATGAAGTCATTAAATATGTGGAGGGTAATGGGAGACAGGTTCCTCACTGTCAGAGAAGGGAGTTAGAAATAAGGAAAAGGAGAAAACTAGAATGGACCCTGTGGTATTAGATTAGAATTATGACAATAGTATCAACTCATGATTTTTAATAAAGAGATATTGGTATAGGTATAGGTGATACAGATAGATATAGATACAGAAACAATATAAGGAATAATTGATAAATCCACAATCGTGGTGAGAAATTTTAAAACATTCTACCAGAAGCTAATAAGTGAGATAAAGAATTAAGGAAATTATAGCTTTGAATCATCCAATTATTAATAATTATTTATATTATAATAATATATATTTTATTATATATAATATGTAAGTATTATATATAATTATTATAAGCTAAGAGACATTTATGGAACCCTAGAGACAACAATTAGAGAATAAACATTCTTTCTGAGCACATATGTAACATTTATAAAAATGAATCACATATAAAGGAAGTCTCATAAATAAGGAAATTATATCACTCAAAACACATTCTCTAACCACAATCTAATAATCAATTCAAAATAAAAGTTTTTTAAAAGACCTCATACATTTATAAACTTAAAAAATATTGTGCAGTCTAAGTAATAAACCAAATGAAAAATCATAATAGGAATTGTGAAATATTTGAATTGAATAACAAGAAAAACAATCAAAACTTTTCGTCTAAGCTACAGCAGTATTTAGAGGGAAATTCACAATCTTAAATACATTATTTGAAAATACGAATTTAGAAAAAAGAACAGAATAAAACCAAAAAATAAAAAAGGAAGGAAATAATAAAGATAGGAACAAAAATTAATGAAGTACAAAACAAAGAGCACAAATGAGTATTTCAAAATAAGAAAAATAAAACATTCTTTGGAATGACCAAAATCAATACAAGAGAGAATGCAATAAAAATACTAGGCATTAAAAAAAGGGAATATAACTATATATTCAAATGAGATTTAAAAATTTTAAGAGATTTCTATGAATAAATTTATGCCAATTTGAAAATATAGATGAGGGGCTGGCCCCGTGGCCGAGTGGTTAAGTTCGCACGCTCCGCTGCAGGCGGCCCAGTGTTTCGTTGGTTCAAATCCTGGGCGCGGACATGGCACTGCTCATCAAATCACGCTGAGGCAGCGTCCCACATGCCACAACTAGAAGGACCCACAGTGAAGAATATACAGCTAGGTACTGGGGGGCTTTGGGGAGAAAAAGGAAAAAAATTAAAAAATCTTTAAAAAAAAAAAGAAAATATAGATGAATGGATAATTTAAGGTAATATAAACTACCAAAATAACCTCAAGAAGAAATAAAAGAATTAGATAGATCTATAAACACTTAAGTAATTAAATTGGAAGTAAAAATCTAAATCTAACTACAGCAAAGCAACAGGTCCAAATAATTCTTCAGGCATATTTTACTTTATTTTTCAAAGATTGACACCTGAGCTAACATCTGTTGCCAATCTTTTCTTTTTTTCTTCTTCTCCTCAAAGCCCCCAGTACTTAGTCGTATATTCTAGTTTTGAGTCCCTCTGGTTGTGCTATGTGGCACGCTGCCTCAGCATGGTCTGATGAGCAGTGACGTGTCAGCGCCCAGAATCCGAACCAGCAAAACCCCGGCCGGCCAAGCGGAGCGTGCGAACTTAACCACTCGGCCATGGGCCCGCCCCAGGCATATTTTACTTTTAAGCAGCTGATAATTCCTCTCTTATACAAACAGCTCCAGAGAATACAAAAACAAACACTCTAACTGATTTTATCAAACTACTATAACCTTAGTTTTAAAACCAGACAATGGCAGCACAATAAAGAAAAATTATATGCTAATCTCACCTATGAGCATAAATGCAAACAGCTAAATAAAATATTAGCAAACTAAATCTAGCAATGTGTGTATGCGTGTGTGTGTAGGATCAAGTTGAACTTATCCCAGGTATGCAATAATGACTATTTACCATTAAAAAAATTATAAATACAATTCACCACGTTAACAATTAAGGCAGAATAAAAACTACATAGTCATCCAAAAACTTCAGAATCTGCATTAAATAAAGTTCAATACTCATGAATTATAAAAGCATTAACTCAGCAAACCAGGATTAGGAAGGAACTTCCCTAGCCTGATTAAAAACAAAACAAAACCTCAGCAAACATAATAGTTAACAGTAAAATTTTAGAACATTTTCTTTAAAGTCAGGAATAAAATGAAGATGGCTATTTTTATTGCCTCTTTTGAACAGTGTCCTAGTATGCCTGGTCAGCACACTAAAAAAGAAAGTGCTATCAAGTGTGGAAAGGAAGAAACAAATATAAATACAAATGCAAGGTTGTTGGACATGTGACCACTATTCAAAAGTCAAGAGTATTCCTATATGCCAGCAATAAATAATTAGAAAATTGAATTTTCAAAAATTCAATTCACAATGGCATTAAAATCTTTAAAGTACCCACAAATAAATCTAAGTCTCTTTTATGAGAAATGCATAAAACTAGACATATTTATTTTTAAAACACTGTGGCATTAATTCTGTGATAGATAAAGTGACCAGTGGAACAGACTAGAAACTGAGAAATAAACCCACTTTTATATGGGATCTTAGTATATTACATATCAGTAGGAAAAGGATAAATTTCTTTTGGCTCCAAATAACAGAAAACCAACTAAAATGATTTAAACAACGGGAAGAATTATCATCTCACAAAACAGGATATTTCAGGTAAGGTTCAAAGTCATCAAGTTCATCACCCAGTTCTGTCTGTCTTCCTCTGGATCTCAGTGAGCCCCCTTCCTTATCACAAAATGCTCAAGGTGTCAAACATACAAAAGGAGGCAGAAAAAGGAGACTGTATCTTCATTATGTATCTTCTTTCAGGGCAAAAGAAAATCTTTCCTAGAAACACGTCCAGCAAACCTTCCTTTGCCTGTCTTTGGCAGGAACTGCTAAACCAATCATTCGGTGGAAAAACAAGAATACCAATATAGTCTGACACCAGTCAGGATTTGCCTGAATCACGTGAGAAAAGAACAGACACTGGAACAAAACTGGTGTCCTGTCAACATGAGAAAGAGGGAAATGACTGCTGGATAAGTGAGCTACAGTTCAGTGGAGTAGTTCACAAATGGTGTGGGGAGACTAGACTATCCTATGGAAGAAAAGAAAATTAGATCCTAATAATATCATAAACAAAAACAAATTCCAGGTGGGTTGAAAATTCAAATGTCAAAAGTAAAAGTTAATTTTTAGTAGAAAAAATAAAACAGTATATTTAGAAATTAGGGGTAGAAAAGGATTTCCAATATAAAATATAAATAAGCAGACATCATAAAGGACAATATTAATTAACTAGACTCCGTTAAAATTTAAAACTTTTATACAATAAAATATACAGGAATTAAAGTTAAAAGACAAACCACAGCCTGGGAGAAGTACTTGCATGATATAAGACAGTTTCTTCTGTTACCCAATAGATATAAATGGGCAAAGTATAAGAATGAGCAATGGACAGAAGAGAAAAATTGAATAGCCAGCAAATACTATAAAAGATGCTCAGCCTCATCAGTAGAAAGAGAATTACAAATTTATACAAAGAGCTAGCAATGACTCACTATAAAAAAATGTTTGTTTGATAATAGTGAGTGCTGGACAACATGCTGGGAAACAGTCATCCATTCCTAGCAGAAAGGTCAACTAGTTCAACTCCTTTGGTGATCACTTTGGTGATATTTAGCAAAGTCAATAATATGCATGGTCAACAATCTAACAATCCTCTCCAAGGTATATATCCTAGAGAAACTCTTTCACATGTGTACCAGAAAACATGTTCCAGAATACACACACACACACTCATACACATAAATATGGAACAGTCTAATTATACATCAATACGGATTGGATAAATAAATTGTATATTCACACAGTCAAATAGTACAGTCTAGTTTAAATGAATGAACTAGATCCATATACGTCAATGCATCTCAGAATGTTGAAAGAAAAAGCAGGTTGTTTAGGGATATTTATGATGTTATATCACTTACATTAAAAGTAAATCCATAGGACAATACTCTGTATTATTTTTGGAAAAGTGAATATTTAATAAAATATAGAAAAAAGGAATAGAGCTTGTGATTACTCCTGGGAAAGGAAAAAGGAGAAAAGGGGAAGCATGAAAATGTCCTACCCCACATACAAATCTCTTCATAAAAACTACAAATGGAGTTTGCCTCCCTTCATCTTTTACTGAGCATCATTTTAAGTCATATGCTATACGTTGTTTAAGGATTAGAGACTAGTTAGTGTCAGAAGAAACGTAAATAGCAGTAATATTCTACAGGAAAAGTAGCAAGGATTGAATAAAGATGCTAGGAAGATCAAGAAAGATCCAAATGGCATAAAATTGAAAAGAAGTTTTCAAAGTTTAGTCAAATGCTCAAAAAACAGTATTGAGTGAGAAGCCAAAGATGTCACTGTCAAAAAATAAGTAAATAAGGTATGGAAAAAGTTTCTACTTGAATTTGAATTTGGGGGCAGGTAGAGAATATACTATAGGGCATATGTCAACAACATCATTTATTACTAAGACCACAATAAATATCAAAGTTTTTCCCTGGAAGTGAAAATTTTAGTTATTAATATCCCAAGAAGTTCCCAGAGCAACATACCTGGAGAAGGAGCCTTTCAAAAGCGAGAAAGTTGTCCCACTTGGCAGTGTGCGGGTGTTTCAGAGTTTGAACTGTGGCCAGCCCAAGCTGGAGGAGACCACAGTGATTCACTAGAGCTTTGAGGTTGTTCTTGAAGAGCTGAATATAGGTCGTGAGCTGCCCTGGAGTGACTCTCCCTGGAGAAACAAATAATGTATCAATATACCCTCTTCTGGGAGTGGTAAAAATAATGACAAGAATGCTATTAAAAATACTACTGCCTTGGGGCCAGCCCAGTGGTGTAATGATTAAGTTCACTTGCATGCTCCATTTTGGATCCCGAGCACAGACCTACACACCGCCTGTCAAGCCATGCTGTGGTGGCCTCCCACATACAAAATAGAGGCAGATTGGCACAGATGTTAGCTCAGAGCCAATCTCCCTCACCAAAAAATAAAAAGTACTACTCCTTTATATTGGCACAGACCTTCCGAGCTGACTGCAAGCTTTCCTAAGCTACTGTGATTCTTACAACAACATGGTGACAACAGCAAAGTTGAAACTATTGCCTGCATTTTGCAAGTAAAGAAACAGATGTTAAGTGATCTGGCCAAGGCCTTATTGCTAGGAGAATTCATTTTATAATTCTGCAATACCCTACAAATAAGTTCTCAAATAAATTCACACAAGTAAATATTTGTTGAGCTCGACATGGAAGCTCTCCAAAACACATGATACAGCAATCTAGGAGGCAAAAAGACAGCATTTCTAATTGTGTGTATATGTATTTAAAGCAAAAGGAGAGGGGGCCGGCCCCGGGGGCCGAGTGGTGAAGTTCGTGTGCTCCGCTTCAGTGGCCCAGGGTTTTGCTGGTTCGGATCCTGGGTGCAGACATGGCACCGCTCATCAAGCCATGCTGAGGCAGCATCTCACATAGCACAACCAGAAGGACCTACAACTAGAATATACAACTATGTACTGGGGGGCTTTGAGGAGAAGAAGAAGGAAAAAAAAAAAAGAAGATTGGCAACAGATGTTAGATTAGGTGCCAATCTTTAACAACGAAAAAAAGATAAAATAAAGTAAAAGGAGAAACCTGTCAAGACTATAGCTGAAACTTTATCACTGACATCAGTGGGTTCATGACAATACTCATGAGGATAAAAGCTGGCTGTTATGTGGAACAAAAATGTATGGAGAACTGGAGTGGCAAAAACACTAGAAGATGAGATATCAGAAGGAAGGGTTTAGCATGAGTGACTCAGCACATTCACTACAATTGTCCTCTAGATCTAGAACAAGAGACCCCACCTCATAAAAGACTAGAGATTGTACCCAAAAACATCCCACAAACAAAAAAACACCTGTTGAAGATTCACTCCTTCCCAGCCTCTAAGTCCAACTTTTGCCTAGAGCAGTCCTTCAGTTTAGTCAATTCCCACTCTCCAGGCTGGCAAATTTCATTCCTGCCATTCATCAGTGCTATAAACAAAACTCCTAAACACCACAGATTCTCCCCATTGAGTGAGAAGGCAATGCGGCCAAATAAGTCGTGTAAATCTTTCCTACACATCTTATCCACACTGTGTTTGTGGGTTGCCTGAAATTCAAGTTTGCACATATATACCTAAATGCACAGTCATGTGCCTAGGTCCTGCCTCACAGAGAAATCCAAGTTTGTCAATATTTGGCAAGTAAACCACCTGTATTTATTTAGCACTTTACAGTTTACACAGTGCAGACATGCCCTCTTCTGATTCTCATAGCAGCTCCATGGGACAGCAAACAAGGCCTGTGCTGCATCGATTAGACCCACCTGAGGCACTGAGAGTTCGGTGTATTACATGGTGCTAAATGGTAGAGATCACTTAATAAATGATTTTTGCTACAGAGCGTGATACACAAAATAAAGACCTTGCCACAGAAACTTATAAGCCTGCAACATATTCTTTCTATCTTTTCATTACATTTTTCGAAGAGATCAAGAATTTTGAAGTTCCTTATAGCCAGTTTATCAGGGTGACCATCTAAAAAGAATAAGAATAGTGGGAATGACAAGTAGGTAGGTGAGTCCCTTGGTAAAACTTGGTTCATTCCTGATTCTCAAAGCAGCAAGCTAACGATTTGCTTACTTAAGTATTCATAGAGAAGAGCCTCATTAACTCTTTGTTTGCTTTTGAATCAGGGTTATCCAGGTATAATTTACATACAGTAAAATTCACCCTTTTCAGGTGTACAGTTCTATGAATTCTGACAAATGCATATGGGTGGGTAAGCACTATCACAATCAAAATATAGAACATTTCCATCATTCCAAAAAGGTCCCCTTCTTTGTAGTCAACTCTCTTTGCCCAAGCCCTGTCACCGTGAACACTTATGTTTACTGGATTTCTGTCCCACAGTTTTGCCTTTCCAGAATGTTCTATAAATGGAATCATACAGTATGGAGCGTTGTGAGTGGGGCTTCTTTCAATTTGGCATAATGTACTTGATATTCATCCATGTTATTGCCTGTATTAATAGTTTGCTCCCTCTTCTTGCTGAGTAATGTTCTGTTGTATGAGTATGCCGTAGTTTATTTAGCCATTTATTTAGCCATTCACCAGTTAATGATCATGTATGTTTAACTTTAAGAAACTAGCAAACTGATTTCCAAAGTGAGCTGTTCCATCTGCAACATATGAGAGTTCTATTGCCTCACATCCTCATCAGCACTTGGCGTTGCCAATTATTTTTATTTGATCCATTCTAATAGGTGCATAGCAATTGCATTGTAGTTTTAATTTGTATTTTTCTTATGACTAATGATGTTGATCATTTTTTCTTGTGCTTATTTGCCATTCTATATATTTTTTGGTGAAGTGTCTGTTCAAATTGCTTGCCCATTTTTTATTAGATTGTTTATTTCCTGATTATCAAATTGTGAGCATCATTAACTTTCATTAATTCATTTATTCAACATATATTTCTGTGCCAGGCACTGTTCTTGTTGCTAGGAATAAACCCATGAACAAATCAGACAAAAATCTCTGTCCTCATAGCCAATAAATAGACAAATGACCCCATGATCTAATTAATTCAGTCATTTCTCTCTTAGGGGATGGGGACCTTTTGTGCAAATGGTTAACATTTTTACTCAATGACATCTTCTGACACCTATTAAATATCAATATTAAGTAAGTGAAAACAAAATTTCATACAAAACAGTTTCAAATCTAAGACTGCCATGAGCTTCATTTATTTGCTTACACATTGTACTGCTGGTGATCGGCAAAGTGGTTCCTCACACAGAGCGTAGTCTATCAAGAGAGATATTCATTAAACACCTATACAAATAATTACTTAATCATGATTGTCATAATACTGCTAAAGAAAAATACAAAATGTCCGGAAAATGTGAAAGGCTCTATATGATGCAAAACTGCCTACCTCTCTAGCTCTGTCTCCTCAACTCAAGGAGGAGAAGTAAACAGGCTCAAAATACATACAATCCATTTGTAATATAACTGCCTTTTAGAGAAACCACAAGAAATGGAAATCATCAGAAAGTTGATTTAGATTTCTCTTGTAATAACCATAGATCAATTTAAAAGAGTATCTTCAATTCAAAAACATAGTTGAACTTTTTATCCAGTTAGTATTTCCTAGCTCAATCTCATACTTAGTTACCATATTTACATACTGCCATCTTCCCACAAAAGGCACTTGATCCAAAGGAACAAACGGGTGTATTTTATAACAGGAAATGCCAACAAAACACTACACTTGTGAATTTAGCAATTTTTCACCCTTGCTGCTCCATTCTGTTCCCTCTGTACATCTTTTTTCTTACACAGACATGCCAGTAACACTTCACTAGATACATCTCGAGAGCAGATTTTTTTTAATCCATAACATGCTAATTGGAATTAATAAAAGAGTACTTCACACAGACGCTTCAAAATATAGACTAGCAACATTTAAAAAATTTTAAACTTAATCAAACCCTACATAAAATAAGTCAAAATCACTGACTATCAAAAATGCTACAGTGAGACTAATGACTTAAGAAAGCTTCTCAGTTCATATCAACTAAAACAGCAAGCAACTAGAACGAGGGGTAGAAAAAGTAATAGATGAAACATTTATTCATATCTTACATTACAAAAAAAAAAAAAAAACTTGTCAGGCAGATTTACATGGTGATTTAAAAATGTCAACCCAGAAGGCTTTGCAACACATTCTTTAAAGCCATAAAAACAAGGGTTACTTTATATAAAGACTGCATGGGATATAGCAACTTTTTGAAAAGTGACAATTTTGAAATTTGAAAAATGGTTTTCAAGTAAGAAAAGCTATTAGGCTTTCTTTTTCCTTTTTGTATTTCTTAAGAAAGAAACAGCCTTCTGATTTTAACTTAGCTAAGAGAAAAACACAAAACTTTATCAACCATCAATTCTCTCTATATTTTAAAACATTAAAATAGAATTGTCTCTTGAGGGCAAGGGTACCAGATTTGGAAAGCAAAATGATTTAGTATTTTAATATTATCTGTGATCCTTACAAGAGTAATTCAATTGTATTATGGAATCTATTTGTCCATTTGCTACATATCTATTTGATAAGTAACTTTCTCAATCTGTTTCATGGCTTGTTAAAATATATTTAAAATATCTACACATATATGACTTTTGTTGATATTCTTAAAATAAAGAGGACTCTGCCAGTGCTATGTTTGATTTAATCCCAAAATTGTGTCTTAATGGTAGAAAGCAACCACCATCAGAAATTTTGTCTAAAACATCATACTTAGCTACTAAATATCTTTAAAAAAAAATAATATAAGAAATAATAACTGTCATTGCATGCTTTTTATTCATCATTTTCCTGAAAACCGAGTGTGTGAAATTTGAATAACCAAACATGTGTTTTAAGATTTGACTCCCAGAAATCAAATGTCAGCATTTCATTTGTCTCCTTTTCAATCATTTCTCTAAGATAATAAAGGCAAAGTATATTAAAATATTTAAATATAATATGTTCTGCTAAAACTCTGGTTTATTAGCTCACACACAATTGACAAACAGGAATAATATCAATATTACACAAAAATCACATCTGTTTGTTATTTTTCCTCATTATTTTAACATTTTGTGCCACCAAATAACAGGAGCTGAACACAAAGTAAACAAACACAGCCGAACACCACAAGCCACAA